AGAGCCAGAAGCTAACTTCAGCACTCCGTGGGGTGGTTTTTGCTCAGGATTGAAAGCCACACGTGAAGCTCCCTGTGGGCTGACTAAGATACTTTTGTCCGTCTTCTTAAATTCTGTCAAAGATTCAAAAGCAAAAAGCTTATTCAAGGCTTGCTCATCCCAAGGTGTTAGCACATTTTTCGGGCACCAGAGCCATTCGCACATGAAGGGGACTGAAACAGATTTCCAACAACCATGGGTTTTGTTTCTCGTTTGGGTGAAATGGAGAATCATCATCCTGAATATTTAAGTTCTTAATGGATTCTTCATCTGCTAGTGACAGGACTGCCAGCATCACAGGCTATATTTACTTTAGGCTAGGGTCCACTGGAGCCCTCACTTCTATGGGTCATAAGAGTTCAGTGCTCAGGAACAGAGTATAATCTGGGAGCAAAGCCTGCTCTTCCATCTAGGTGATGGCAGTTTCAACAGGACTGAAGTTTTGCCCTCACCTCCACATCACATCAGATGGCAGCCATCTTACTTCCTCTCTTATAACTACGTTTTACACAAGTACACAAAACTGAAGCCATTGCTACATTTTCACACAACTGTTGCTAAATAACTATATCCTATTCTATTTAACTGGCCTGTTTTCAGAGAAGCAACAAAGGGAAATCACTCACCAGCTGTCATGTTGTTATTCAGTCCAAACGTGACCTTTTTAGAATAGGAAGATTGTAGCTTGGTCAACTACAAAAAAGGAGATAAAACATCAGATAAAGTTATTTTTCGGGACCAATTAAAAACCTTCCTTTTATTAAAATAATCTACTCATCTCAACTGTTGAAAGTAATGTGTAAAAATAAACTCATAAAATTGCAATCAAATCACAACCACCAGTGATAACACATCAACAGCATATCGTAGAGTACCATTAATATAAGGGTATTTTAAACTACCCATTTGCCTGCTGCTTAATTTATAGTTGGACCAAGGGTGGGGGAAGACTTACAATACTGCTGGAACAAATAAATAAACACAAAGAACAATACACTCCTCCAGAAGCTCACACTAGAGCTTCAGAGCTACTGCCCCTCCCCATTGCTGTTCCAAGCAGCCTAAAAAGTGGATTTCTGAGCTGCCAGTTTTAACACTGCAATCTGTTAGACTTTTCAAAGTCTCCCTCCACCTTCTACCCATTACTAGACATTTTCCTTCATATCTCAAAATATCCCTTCTTGGTCAGAAATAGAGAGCACACACTTCAGATAAACACTATGCCATTCCTAAGGTAACTCTTCATGTAATCAGATGTTCCTCTTCCATGGGGGAAGGAGACTATGAGACGTATCCTACGACAGTGCTAACCTAAGAAGGAAAGAATAGGAAGCATTTCACAGAAACACATCTCCAGAGTGAAAGAGCCTAGACTAGGTTGGGGGGGGGGGGCTCACACTGCCACGCCACCCCACAAAAAACTCCCTATGCATACAAAAATTGGAATATAAGGGAGACGGTTAGGCTGGGAACTGACATCTCTATTTGAAAGGATTTTTTTTCACAAAGTGGGATTCACACATTTGAATCCCTCCTGCAATGTGGAAGTGGTATTGCCTCACTTCAGAGAGAGAATTAGTACCTGTTTTTTTATATAAAAGTCTAGGATTCTCTAGAGCAGGGGAGTTAAACATACGGCCCGTGGGCCAGATACAGCCCCTGCAAGGCCCCAATCTGGCCTGAGAGGAACTGGTTGTGTGCTGCTTCCTGCTTTTTACATCACAGCTCCTTCTGGCCAGTCTCTCCTATTTCCTGCTTCAGAAGAGAGAGAGAAAGCCTTACCTCAAATTGCTGAGGGCTCCTCCTCCCTCCTCCTCTGGGGAGAGAGGGGGAGGAAAAGAGCCAGAGATGAGGCGGGGGGGGGGGATGGCACATCATGGGACTTTTAAGAAGACCAGCAACATTTTATTCCAGGTATAAGCACACTTTTTCTTCAGAGAGAGGGAGGGAGGCAGAGGGAACACGCCAGAAAAAGAGTGTCCTGTGTTTAAGACCAAAAACGTTTTATTCCAGATACTGGGGGGAGAGTCCTGTATTTAAGACCAAAAAATGTTTTATTCCAGGTATGGGGGGAGGGGGGAATCCTGTGTTTATGACCAAAAACATTTTATTCCATATATGAGAGATAGACAGACGGACAGAGAAAGGGACAAAGACACTTGGAGAGATCCACCTTTCCATTTCTAACAGATTGGGGGGAGGGGGGGAAGAAACCTACCGGCACAGCTTGCATTCCTTATTAGTGAAAGGGAACAAGAGTACCTTAATGACTAACAAAATTTGTGGCAGGGCATGAGCTTTCATGAATCACTGCTTACTTCTTCAGATAAAGCTGGCATGTGAGTCCATCTGTCCTTATATCTTGGAAAGTGAAGTGATTTCAGATGCCAAAAGACAACAGCGGGCATTGGTAATGAGAGAAGAAACCAAGGTCTCAATTCAGTCCAGGAGTCTGCATTGTCTTGAGCTTCATGATCAGTTGCAATTCAGCAGTCTCTCTAATCTCCCTTTGAAATTCCTTTATAAGAGAACTGCTACTTTTAGGTCAGCAACCGAATGCCCTGGAAGATTAGAACATTCCCCCATTGGTTTTTGAATGTTGTGGTGCCTAATAGTGGTAGAAAGAGTAAGAATCCAGTAGCACCTTTAAACACTAACAAAATTGTGGTAGGGTATGTGCTTTTGTGAGTCACTGCTCACTTCTTCAGACTGATTTCCATTTATTCTCTGCAGATAACACCCAGCTCTATCTGATGCTGGGTGGCCGGTCGGACTCTGCCCAGGATGACCTGTATTGGGCGTTACAGGCTGTGGCTGGGTGGCTCAGACTGAGCCAGTTGAAACTAAACCCGGCAAAGACGGAGGTCCTGGGCATGAGTCGGATCGGCTCAGGGTTGGGGCTCCCTCTCCCGACCTTTGATGGGGTGCCTTTGGTACCAGCGTCGGAGGTTAGGAGTTTGGGTGTGCACCTGGACTCCTCTTTAACGATGGAGGCCCAGGTGGCAGCCACTGCCAGGGCAACCTTTTATCATCTTCGGCTGGCTCGGCAATTGGTCCCCTACCTTAGCTGTGAGGACCTGGCCACGGTGATCCATGCGACGGTTACCTCAAGACTCGACTACTGTAATGCTCTCTACATGGGGCTGCCTTTGTCGCAAATCCGGAAGCTGCAGCTAGTGCAGAATGTTGCAGCCAGGTTGTTGATGAGTCTCTCGAGGAGGGACCACATTCAGCCTGTGCTGAAAGCGCTGCACTGGCTGCTAATAGCATACCGGATTCACTTCAAATACTGGTTCTTACCTTTAAAGCCCTTTATGGCCAGGGTCCAGCCTACCTGAGGGACCGCCTTTCTCCATATGTTCCCCTCAAGGGCACTACGGTTGGGGGGTCATCATCTCCTGGAAATTCCAGGCCCCAAGGATATTAAATTTCCAGTGACCAGAGCCAGGGCATTTTCGGTGGCGGCTCCTACCTGGTGGAAGGAGCTCCGGGAGGAGATCCGGGCCCTGCGGGATATTTCTCAGTTCCGCAGGGCCTGCAAGACGGAGCTCTTCTGCCAGGCTTTTGAGTAGGAGCCACTGCCACTATTACTCCATCATTGCCATCTATGCACCGTCGCACCATCACCACGACTATCTGGCCCCTTTGGGGGTGCGAGGTGCCCCTGGCAGGAAAAGGATGATAAGATTTTGGGAAAGTTACCGTTGGGTTTAAGATCTACCCCATCTTGTGACAAATGGAGCACTGTGATTTTGTTACTGTATTTTATTGTTTTATATTATGTGCTTTTATTGTTTTAATCTTGGCACCTTTGTGCCCTTGTTAGCCGCCCTGAGCCTTCGGGGTAGGGTGGGATACAAATCTAAAGATAAAATAAATAAATAAATAAAATCTTCCTGGACTAAATCCTCCTGTACCAAATTGAGACCTAGGTTTCCTATCTCATTACCAATGCTGATACCTCCATGCATCTGTATATCACACTAATGTTGATATCTCCACCCCTCTGCATATCACACCTAATCCAATCATGCCTGCTACTGCCATTTGGCATCTGAAATCATTTTTATAAAGCTTATATCTCTGGAACCTTGTGTTACATTTTATGGCCCAGCCCGACAAAGTGACATTTGTGTCAGATCCAGCCCTTTAACAAACGAGTTCGACACCTCTGCTCTAGAGTTTCTACCAAGAGAAAAAGTGCTTGCAAATCTATTTATAGAACTGACTGTAATCGAACTCGTTGACATGTATTTTCAGAAACATCACAATCTGAGGTGGTCATATGCTTCCCTTAACACAGGAACTATCTGGTTAGCCTTGACTGTGGTCAACATCTGCGCAAACAAACCGCTTAAGTAAAATTCATGGAAGGGTGTATTTGTTCTAAGAAAGAGAGAGAACATTTCTAAGGCTCACCACTGGTTTCTGACTAGGCTTATGGGAGCCAGTGTTGTGTCTACAGCAGCCTGAAGATACTGATGAACTAATAATTCCACTGTTTTTTAAAGGACAGCAGATTTTCAAGTAAACCAAAAAGTGTAAAACAAGGCCCCCAAACTGGCCATTGACCTGCAGAAAAGCAAATTTTCCCTTGCTGCTAATCCTGCTCCTGAACTCTTAACACGAACAAATTAGCCATTATTCTTCTTGTGTTGGATAGGCCACTAGCATTTTCCTGCAACTAGGAACACTGCCACAAATCTGGTAAAGAGCAAGAGAGGCCTGACCTCACAGAACTGCTCTGCATTATAGTATTATAGTAGCAAACAGTAAAAAATTACCCACTGAATTTACACCTTTCTACCAGTACCGAGATTTTTCTGAGATCAATGGTGCTTCTACAGCTACTGTGTCTGTAAGTGTTGCAATGAGCCCAGAGGGGATGTTGCCCTCCCTATTGTACATTAAACAACTGTTAAACATAGCTATTTCAGCATGAATGATTTCATGTAGACCAAGTGATTCTATACCCTGGCAGTTGCCAAATAACAGAGGACTGTAACAGAGGGATGGCCAGAGCCAGGGACATAAAAGCCTTCTTCAAGCTAAAAGAGCACTGCACTACAAGGACTATTTCTCCATCGTGGCCTTTATTGGCAGACTGTTATCATCAACATTGTACCTTCATGGAAGTAATGCTTCCTTTTGCTTTTCTAAAGAATACCGGCTTTGGCAGAGTTGTCTTTTCAAATTTCACAAAGTCGTTCCCAGCCTTGGCCTTCTTTTTCTGTAGCATGATGAGATTAATGGGTTCCTGTAGGGAGATAAAAGAGCAGTTGAACACACACACACACAGCACAACTGACAAGTCAAGGAATAACAATATGATACTTACAATACATTTTAGCTCAGGAGCCAGGATATTGGATGACTACTTAGAAAAAACGGTTACCAACTATGAAAAAAACTGTTGAGGCAAAAGAGTTTCCAACAATGGGAAAAAGGTGTTGAGAGTATGAATACAGGTGAGCATGTTAAAGGTGCCAGAAAAATTATGGGAGAATTTTACTTACGCTGGTTTTGCACTTCTTGTTTTCAGCGTCAAGGCCATTTTCTTCCACAGCATTCAGGATTGCATTGATTTTCCTTTTCTTTTTCAATCTGACTATTTTCTTCCTTGAGCCTCTCATCTTTTCCAGAATCCCCAATTTTTGTTTTTTCCTCAATTTAACTTTTTGGAACATGGGGGACGTCAATTCTGTACAACTTTTCTTCTCTGGCTGCTTAACAGCCTCTTCAGAAAAACCATTTTCAGAGGTGATCCCGATCTCCTTTTTCCATTTCTTCTTAGTCACTTTATTATTAATATGATTTACAGATGCAGAGTGGTCAAGAATCTCTTCTGTAATAGTAGGAACTTGCCCATTTTGATGGACAGTTTCTACAGGCACTTTCTGCAGGCTACCACTTTTCTTCTTTGTTTTTTTCTTTATACTGCTTACCAAACACGTTAATGTCTTCTTTGCTGAGCTACCACTAAGTCCTCCCACAGGATGTGTTGTAGAGACATTTTCACTTGCTTTTATATCTAAAAACCTCTTTTGCCTTTTATTTGTATTTGCTGATTCATCATCCTGGTTTAGCTCTTTGGATTCTTCCAAAACAACTGGCTCTTTCTGATGACTTCCAGTAGCAGTAAGCATATCTGTACTTTGACTCAATTTCCTCTTTCTCTTCTTCCTCTTCTTTCGCAACCCTGTGTTGCCATCATTTTCTTCCATATCAGCTTTTCTGTTTCCAGCATTATCTATCAAGGCAAGATACATGGCTTTAAATAGAAAGAAAGAGCAGTTGACTAGCACAGTCTTACATCTATTACTGGCCGTTCAGAAAGTGGTTCTGTTTTAAAGGGGGGGGGGGAGATTGGTATCAAGAGAGATGCTGCTGTTAAGTCATAAGAACATAAGACAACCCTGCTGGATAAGACCAGTGGTCCATCTAGTCAAGCATACTGTCTCACACAGTGGCCAACCAGTTCCTCTGGATGGACAACAACATAGCATAGAGGCCAAGACCTTCCCCTAATGTTGCCTCCTGGCTCTGGGTTTCAGAGAATTAGTGCCTCTGAATGTGGAGGTTCCCCTCAGTCACCTTGGCTAGTAGCCATTGATAGACTTATCCTCCAAGAATCTATCTAATCCCCTTTTAAAGCTGTTTATTCCTGTAGCCATCACTACATCCTCTGGCAGGGAATTCCACATACTCTCTGCATAAAGTAGTATTTCCCTTTGTCCATCCTGAACCTTCTGCTTGTCAGTTTTCATTGGATGCCCTTGAGTTCTAGTATCCTGTTTGAGCATCTATCTGAAGTACTGCTCTAGCCCTTGAGGGAGGCAGAACGCTGAGCTAGACAAGCCATTCACATGACCCTAGCAGGGCATGTTGCTATTAAATAGTATTTTAACTGTCAAGATACCCCCCAAACCTGCCTGATGTTGGTATATTCAGAGAGCTTGGCTTTTAACAGATTATTCTAGCCGATGCTCACAACAGAAAACACACCCTGCCCTGAGATGTCTGGCAAGTTCCACCCCATCCTCAGACCTAGCAACACATCAAAAGGTATTTTCAGTGAAGAACCCTTATAATGGTAGTAAAGCCCAACGAAAATTGGCTGGTACATAAAATAGTGAAATTCAAAGGCTTGGATCCTAGAACTCCTTTCTGCTGACACCCCTCTTTTTCTGCTGTGGAGTGCATTCCTTTCACATGAGACATTTTTTGGTTCTTGAAAGATGCTGATCTCGCTGAAGTGCCTATAGTGCTAGCGGAATGTGAGGACCACCTCTGCAACAGACAGAGAATGCAAGCAGAAAGAATGAATAGGATCCAAGCTCAAGTAAACAGATTGGGGCAGGATGTTGCAAGCTGCTCTTTTCCCCACCTTCTTTTTCCAGCTTGGTTTTATCTAGAGGTTTGACAGA